TGATGAAGCCAAGAAATGTTTAGAAAAGCAAGCAAAGAAAATGTTAGCAGTTTCTAATGCAAAGCACCCAAACGTCGATGAAGGTTTCGCTGTGAGAATTAAAGTACCCGAAGAAGACAGAGCAAAAACTGATGCACGTTCAATTTTAGCTGTGGTTCTTAGTAAAACAGACAATGGCTTTTATAAACTTGGTACTAAAATGGGTATTTTAAAACAATTGTATGCAAAATCTGAATTCAGTGTTTGCGAAGAGATTTTTAACGAAAGATGATGTCCCTGCTGTAGAAATATGTTTACGTCAAACAGCAATAAAACAATCCCTTAGTACTGAGCGGGGTTTCAGAAAATGTGACTGCAAATCTAAGTGTACCACAAATAGGTGTGCTTGTTGTGAAAACCAATTGCATTGTAATTCAGTGTCACCAATCTTTAGATTGCACTAATAAGTAAGCACAATTTTATCATATGTTTTGCAAATTCATTTCTCTAATCGTAATAATATTTTAAACTGTTTGATTTTTTTTTGTATTAGTTTTTTAATTGATGATTGATTCTATCAACTAATTTGTTGATTGTATTAACTTGATTCTTTAGATATTGAAAATTAAATAAACAACATTATGTTAATTTAAGCGTACAGAAACATTACTGTTGTTCAAGCAAAGATCTTATTTTCAGTTTACCAAGTGCCTAGTAGGTAATGTGCAGATTACCTAGATCATCTGCACATTACCTCGGTAATTTGAGAAATGAAACAATTTTCGAAACTTCACCCTAGTTAATCTGGAGATTAGCTAGGTAATGTACACATTAATGGCTTTCGAGCTTTAGCATTAACATAGTTACCAAATCATAGTATTTATTTCTGGGCCTTCTAGCTTAAAACACGAACAAACAATTGACAATGGTGGACTTGGATTTTTGGTACCTTAAAGCTTGAACTGTTGTAGGTTTCCCTTTATGACCAGCAACAATAGGGAAATGTCTGACTAGGTTCAGAGAGTCTCACTGCTGTTGTACAGACCTCAAGACTCAAATGGCAAAGAATGGTATGATGCCCTTCCCGCCAGCAATAAGGTCTGGTAACCCATTGCTGGTAGGAAGAGGTCATTGCAATGAGGTCTGGTTAACTGTTTTCTTCAATGGGGTTGTTGTATGGCCCGAACTTTTAAAACTTTTACCACCGCATCACTGATTTTGATTGCTCTATCTGGTTATTGTGATTTTTGGTGTTAAAATGCATAAGACACATGCAACCCCAATTGAGAATTTGGATTATTTTTACACTTTTGATTGGCTCTAGCCTAAGGCTGAGCTAGAAAACTATTAAACTATATCAACAAAAGATTCAATATCCAGCTACCAAGGATCATGATATCACTCATGGTATAGTTCTAAATGTGCAATAAACATTTTTTTGTACTATGCTTGGAGCCCAGGAAGTCTGTTGACAAAAATGGACATTTTGATTTGCTGACATCCATCTTACTTTCTTCTGAAGAAAAATTGGATTTCTTTGCATTATTCAACATTTGAGTAATTTTTAATAATTGGTTCCACATTCATGGAAAAAACAGCATAGGCATCCTGGATGCACAGTGAAGCATAACATATTTATGCCTGAAGTTATAATAATGCAAAATAAAATTTTGTTTAAAAAGTTACAGCAAGATAGATAACCATAATACTGAATATACATTGCATAGTAAAAATATTTTTAAGTCAGAAACACACCAGTAACAGTTTAATAAAATGACCAATAAGGCATATGCCACATTATTGCAATACTAGCACAAGCTTTGATTAAACTTCATCTTCTGCTGCCCTCTTGGCAATAAACATTTTTTCACTTTGAAATAAAGTAACAAAATATTTTTATTACCATTCACTTATACTCGTATTATTAATATTTTAATTATCGAATTCTTGGTAGAAATTGCATTAAATCAAAATTGTGTTTAGAAAAATCACTGTTGACAAGGAATGTTTGTACTCATAAAAATAAATACATGATTCTATATAAATCTGGTGTTTTTTTAGATCCCCTCATATGTAGGATTCCAAAACACATTGGTTTATAAAGAAGTCAAATAGTTCTTTGGTAAAACTTTTTTTATTTTTCTAACAAATTTTAAAATTAACTATAAATATAAAAATTCTTAGTAGCAATATTCCATTTTTTTCAACAGTGTCATGTGCCATAATATATTAAAATGATTTTGTATAAATTATTACATCATTAAGTTTTCTTTATTCTTGATTGTTTCTCTATTAATTTACGAAAATATCCATCGGATATTCTCATCAGCTCGTCGAAATTGCCCGATTCGACAATTCTACCCCCGTCCAAAACCGCAATCTTGTCGGCACCGGTGATCGTAGATAATCTGTGAGCGATGACCACAACCGTCCGGTTCTTCATGATTTGTTCCAGGGCCTCTTTTATAAGAAATTCACTCTCCGCATCCAATGCACTACAATGCAATGCAATTTAATTTTCAAATTGAAATTTTCACTAATAATTTTCATTTATAATACTTACCTTGTAGCTTCATCCAGCAGTAAGATTTTAGGATCCTAAAATGCACAATAAATAAATAAATTAATTAAAGCTTTTAAGATTGTGAAGACTAAAATAAGTACAGTGGTACCTCAGGATACGAAATTAATCCGTTCTGAAACTGAGATCGTATCATGAAAATGTCATAAGGTGAATCATTTTTCCCCATACGATTACATGTAAAACCAAATAATTCGTTCCAACACAAAAAACACACTCAAAGCTAAGTTGTACATTAAAAAAAATAACTGCGAGAGTCGAACTTAGTGGAATAAATTGTTAAATATTTTTTTTCACGGAACAGTTTATAGAAATAAACAACAAACCAATATTTAAAAAGAACATAAAACTTTTTTCCCACAAACTTAATTCCGTGTTGAGGATGATACATCCAATGTGTCACCCGGAATCTACGAAAAGACGAAAGAAAACAACTATTGGACGGAGGCAGTGGGAAAAACCCAAAGACAACCCTTTATAAAAAGGAGGGGTCGATGCATAAGAGTCAGTCTCTGGAGTTTGGTGTGAACTGTGGATTTATGTGAACGGATTAGCTGCTACCCGGAACTGTTCTAATCGCCGCCGTTCCGATAAATCACTGCCTAAGAAATATCAACGTTCGAAAGAACTTTGTGCCAATATCAATGTTCGAAAGAACTTTGTTCCACACAGACTTGAGGACTAAACGACTATTTGCCAACTTATATCAAGGTATTTATCCTCGTGCAAATTAAATGTGAACTCTCTCTCATAAATACAGGTAATCGGGAAAGAAGTAGATATGTTAACTGAATCGATTGTATATAGCTTAATGCCCGTTTATTGTTCTATTTATGTATAAACAATTTATAGAGTGTAATTCTTCTGATTTTCTCTTTACGCCTCCATCTCGGAACTAAGAGTCCACATACGCGATTGCTCATGCGTAAATTCGAACGTAACGGTCTCTATGTCTACCCAGAAGACACAGTGGTGTCAGTCCTGATAAATTTGTCATTGCCGTCTTTGCCGACGCAATGTCAACCCTTCGGTCCTGTGGTGCCGAAGCATAGAGGGGGGCCCTTCATCATTGTCACAAAACTATAGTAAGGAAAACACTGAAAAATGCATTTTGTAGTTGTAAATGTATAAATAACCATAATAGAATAATAATTGATTTAAAAAAATGTAGCTACATTTGCATTTTACCTTTGAGGATAGATGAAGGTAGAGGTGTAAACTGGAGGGAGAAGGGAAATGATACTAAAACTTAACTTACATAACATTATGTAACAATAACTTATAAATAACTTAGAAAAGATTAAAAAAAATTATTGTTGTTTTATATACAGGTAGCCCTCGGTTTACGCTGGTTCAATTTACGCCGATTCACAATAACGCCACTGCACAATTCGCGATTTTGCTGTGTAATTCCCTATGCCATACTGATTTTCGTTTCAGTGTTGACGTATTTACCGAGCCGCGACATTGTACATTCGTTAAAACAAAGATTTTTATTGAATGTATTTATTTTTTCTGTTTAATATTATTGGAGGGGTATGTATACATTTGCATTAAATTAATATTAAAATACTAAACGTTTAGGTACCCACGAGTCAAGTTATCAAACTTAATAGTCCAATAAATGGCATCCGAATCCATAGCGCCATTGAATTTATCCTGTATCAGTTCATTTAGGAAAACACCTTACGACACAGTAGCACTTCCGGCGATCAAAAACTATCGTTAGTGAGACAAGTCTACTTCTTGTTGGCCAGACGATATCTATCTCTCCTTAATTTTCCCGCTCAAACTGACCTTACATATGCACTACGGCGACAGGTGGTCAACCAATCAGTGTTTCCGCTCATCCATAGTTCTACGTCGGGTTAATGTATCCTTTCAACTATGGAAAGTTTGACGGTTGAACTTTGTGAGTTAGACAATGATTGGGAGCGAAGTGCGAATGTAAAAAGGAGCATTGTCGCATCCATTTGACCATATTCCGAAATTCTCAATGAAAGAAAACAAAAATGTAAACAATTAAAGATGGATACTTCTTCCGAAAAATGTAAGAGATCCAAAACTAAAATTTTTAATAAAAACATTTAACTTTATTTTATGACAAAATACATTTTAAAAATTAAATTTATTTGTACTTTGTATTATATTGTATTAATAAACAAAATTATTTGCGTATTTTTCACTTATGTGGAACCTAA